TAGTGGGACCTGAGTATTCTGCGAAGGGCAGGCAGTGTAAGATTTCCTTTCCCTTCCAGATAACTCCGTAACTGTAGGCCTGGTGTGATTGCGCGGATGACAGCGTCAATGATATCGGGTTCTGGGTAACCCCTGCTAAGCCCACTTTCAATCTGCCTGGCCAGGCTAGAAAAGGTTAGCTTATCCTTCTGTCCTGGTTCACCTATTTGGACTGCTATTTTAAAATCTTTGCGCCACATGGAACTATCTGGTGGTGCTAGAATCATATTCTTTACAGGAGTACTAACACCTGAAGAGAAGTTCTTGTTTTTATTTATTAAGTCCCGCATTGCATTTTCTTTCTCTTCTAATGACAGTCTGAGTGCCTCCACCTCTTTCTGCATTCTTTCCTGTTCATCAGTTTGATTTGGAATTTCATTCTGTATTTTATATATTATGTCCTGAACATTGAGGAGTTCTGACATGCCCTCATCCTCTAGGTCGGTTAGTTCTTCCCGTTCAAGGTGCTTTATGATATGGGAAATCAGCTGACTGCGACTTTTACCAGCCAAATTTTCCTCTTCAGGCCCCGAGATCTGAAGTGCAGTGCAAACTCTAATTAATTGTCCTACAGTCAATCTGTATAACGCTCCTTTAATTTCCAACTGAAGCTTTTCCAATTCAGACTCCATTTTATAAGTAAAAGTAGCAGTGAGTGAAGATTTATCTGACTTAACTGGCTTTTTCTGCCCCCTAGCCCCCTAGTGGCTCACTTCAGGATGCAAATTACCAGCGACTGTCTGAAAACCACGATGTCCACTTTCCTGCTGCTAGACTGCTAGACTTCCCGGAGTAATTTTTCTGGGGGGATGATTGACAAAAGGGGTTCCACCTACAGGCTAGGGGTAGTCCCCCAGTCAACGATCCCAGCGGTGCCTCCAAATGTAACGCCCTGAGAAAACAGGGAGAAATAATCACACGAGTGATGCTGCGATGTTTCCTCAGTGAGAACATTTACTCGTAT